GAGCGAAGCCGCCGTAACCTACTCTAACCCCACCGGATCGCTTCCTCTGCACAGATGAACATCATCCATATTCCGCCGCTATCCACATCTTGATCAAGAAAATACTTGCTTTATACTACGAAGCTAAAATTGACAAGTACGTTTGTGTCTTCTTTGCAGTGTGTTGTCATTGGATCTTGAACAATTGTCGGCAGCAAGGGTCTCTGTTCATTTGCTGGCCCACCTTGTCGTGCAGAAACGGAGATGCAACTGAAACTACGGAAACAATAAACATATTCTTCTTAATTAACCACACTATTCACACAGAAGTTAGCATTCCATAGTTCTATGGGTTCTTGTGGTGGACAGTGGGCTCGCCAGGCGGGACTCCCTGTCTGGCAGGAATACCCTAAGCGGCTGCAGAGCCTAAGCCCCTAAGTTAAAAGTATCTCCCAAACCACCTGAACCCACCTTGCCTGCTCCAGGCTCTACTGTCTGTCTCCAAACAAAAGGGACCAAAAGGGTGGCGAGAGTACGTGCCAGAGGACGTCTCGCAACAAAACGCCAAGGATACAAATGCTGAAGGACGGGACGACCACATAATCTACTTTAGGTACAGAGAAAGGGGTGCAGATTACCGCGGTAATGAGGAAAGCATGTAAAAGAAACGACGTTCAAAGCCGAAAACGGCTACTGCTGTGGACCATATCACCGTGGGCATCTCCTCTCCCAGGTGTTTGAGTCGCGGTGTTTGCCAAGCCGTGCAAGCAAACCAATACCCAATCTGGTTCTGTTTAGTAGAAGGCAATGCGAATGCCAGTTCACACTGCTCGGCAATATCACTGAGTGCTCCGCACTCGCTTCTGAGAAAACCGTGGCCAGCTTTCAGTTGCCTGATTGCTACAGGAAGGACGTACGGTGCGCCATGCACCAGAAATGTTGCCAAAGAAGGCCTCAAGCACGTGCAAAATGCTGCGCCGTTTCTCTGTCTGCAACACGCCCTCTGTTAAAGCAATGGGAACACTCCTCGTTGGTAAGCCCACTCGGGCGCAACAAAAGTAATACATCCAGACAACGGTATTTTGGCGGTGCACTGTTATGTGTGGTTGATTTGGTGTGGTCCGACCCCACCCAATCCACCAGGTATTTTGACGGTGCACTGTTATGTGTGGTTGATTTGGTGTGGTCCGACACCACCCCATCCACCACCCAACTGCGATCTACGCTTCAACGATCGCCACGCCACGCCCGTGTAAAACATTGTTTTGGAGGGTACCACCGCCTGACGCTCGAACGCCAGTTAAACACGTGCACATGGCCTGCCAGAGGCTAACCATGTTTGTGAGAACAATAGATATCCTCCACATCTGTCGAAATACGCCAGTAATGCCAGTTCACCGGCTGCCCTAATCAAGGCCGAGGCCTCCACCCTCCAGATACGGAGCTTCCAAACGATAACCGTGCGAATGAAAAGCATCCGTACATGTTGGAGTTGCTGGGCTTATAAGGTCAAGCGATATCAATGTACAGCTTGAGCCTCGGCAAATTGAATATTGGAGTTCAAAACTAGATACGTCCAGAGCGCACTACTCTTCACTTGGCATGGGGACTGACGAACACACCTAGCACTGCTCGCCTACTCTCACTTAAAACTCACTCCTCCTGCCATCTTGCCGAATATCCTCTAATGTGCAATGATAACTCCCGTAACACCTCCCTTCGCTAGTTAGACTGACCCACCACCGCTCACATGAGGCCTGTGGGGCCGAGCGTGCTTCCCCGAGTAGCACGGACCCAACGGAACAATGCGGTCCAAACTACCTCTCCTAGTCCGTGTCATTCACGCCGCGCTAAAGCCATTGCGGAGGTCCAAAGCGACGTTCCCGCCCGCGCCACGCACGGCTGAAGCTCCGCGCTAAACTGTAGTGCCACACAATGCGCCTGTGGTCTGCACTCAACCATGTCCACATTGTCGCTCTGTGCTTTAACTTGGACTAAACTAAGATCTACCAGCTGTGGCCCTCAGCGGAGATGTCCAAAGGAATAGAATTCCCTGCGCCTTACAATCTGATGAAAGACCCAGTTGTTCCTAATCATGCCTGTAGGAATGATACGGCAGTGCAGGACTGTTACATCGAAGATTCACCAACATAATGTCCAGTGTTCCCAGTCCGCTTATTCGCTCTAAAGACGTTTGAACATGCTGAACTGTAGGTCCCTGAAGCAGTGCATGAGTCGACACTTTGTAGCACATTGGCAGCCAGAAGGGCAACAGTTAAGAACAGCGGTCTGCCGCGGCTCCCCCTCTACCTGTGTCAAGATGCATGGTAAACCGGCATTCGAGCTTCGCTGTGTATGAAACTCGCATCAAAGCTAAGAACTGTTGAAGCCGGCACTTGAGTGGAATCAGTCGGCTCGTCTGGCGAAATAGGCACAGCGAAAAGCCGGTGGAACACGCGCAATCCGCAGGTAAAATGCGAAGTGCGTCGCGTTTTATGTAGTAAATATACTTAAGGTTTGAATGTACCTTTGTAAAGCCGCACAAAGTTCGTCCGAGCGTGCGCCCCCTGACCTTCGCTATGGTGCTTTCCGCATAAGTCTGCAGATGCACGGTAGTGCAGCGGACAGGCTGTAACCACACTGCATAGCTTTTTGTAGTTGTTTTGCAAATATGGAGGTCGCGCATTCCCCATTTCTATTCGGAAATCTATATCACACACGTAGTGAAGCATTTAGGCCCCGCGTGATCGGTGTCTTACATCCAGCCCGGATTCCTTACAACGATTTCCACCATAGGCAGCATGACTGGAGTGGAGTGGTTTGGTGTTGTCCATAAGTTGCGATGAAGCACGTAGTGGATAAAATATAGTTTCCCATCTATTAATACACATATTATTGGGCTGGACCTTTGCGTCCTTGGCGGAAACATGCCTGTTTACAGGGGGGGGTCGTCGAACCAAGAGAGACGGGGACACTATTCTGCACAGGTAGGTAAAACCGACGAAGACCAGGGAGCGTTAACTAACATCAAACATATAGACCAACAGTTTGCAACAAATAGTGGATTATAGTTTGACCTTGCAAGGCCTGAAAGTTTGGAGAACCTGTCCCCAGTCTAGTAACACATCAAAGCAGCCTGGCATACCTGCGGTTCGCTTTGTGTTGTTAATCTTCAACGTGGCGTGGGTCGTTTGGTACTCCATCGTAGCAGGACTCTGAAACATGCCAAGTGCCATGGCGGCTTACATATAGACTGATGACGTGCTATGCGTCTGCTCTGGTCACGTCACGAACGGGGGATGTTGGCAATCTAAATTCTTTTCTAGAGGCTCTGGTTCTGGAGTTGTGCGTGTTTAATTGGGAGCATTCCTTTAATGGAACTAGGTAGGAGACGTATTGCGAGACTGTCTGGATACAGTCTAGAGGCAACTAAACCTGGTGACGCTGCAAGACCCCAAAGTATCTAACGACAACTATGTGCTCAGGGAATTTGTGGAGTATGGAGAGGAAACAAGCCTTACAAAGAGCTGGGGCCTTGTTTTAATTATTGTTCTTGGCTTTTGAAGTGAGCCTCAGGGGGTGCTAGCTTTGCAGTTTGTAGCTGGAAGGAGCTAAGGCAGAACAGGAGCTGGTGAGTTGCAGATCAGAAGCGGCAATTCTCACCAGTATTGCCCAACTCCGTTGTACCCCCATTCTCCGCGGGGCCTTGTGACCACCGCAGATATTATCAATAGTGGTATTAGGCAACTGATCTGCATTTGGGGGCCGCAGCTGATGCGACAGCGGCGGTGATATTTTAGAATGACCTGGCCTAGGTTTGTACAGCAACTGGGAAGGCTGGTTTTCACTTTGTGATCTATCTGGGCCCCATGGAGTCCGAATACCATTTTGGCTGCTATAGTATGCATAATTTCTCCTATTTAGTGTGTATCATACCATCACTACCCTCCCGTTTCTTCCCAGCTGTGGAGCGCAAACGCCGAATTCCTCGAAGGCGTGCAGCTGCTGCACTTTCAGGTGCTGGTTTATAGTGCACATAAAGCAGCAAGTACATCTCAAGCTGCTGCTGTCAGTTCAATGGTGCGCCGGCTGCTATTGCTGGAAGACAACGAGACACACTCTCACAAGGTCGTTGGGCATCGCGTGCTTAATGCAGTTACAAGAGAGGTGAACCCAAAGCAGACTTGTATAAATATTACAATATATAAATATGCAAATTAAATAAATAAATATTTTCATATATAAATGCAGATATCTTTGGTATTTGAGCCAATCGGACCAGCGGTCGCCCCGCGAGCAGCAGACCAGCAGAGAAGGGAGGACCAGCAGCAGTTTTGCTGCAGCAACTGCAGCAGCAGATGCTGCTGTTCCAACTCTTTTTCCATTTACTAATGTATTTTCAAGTACGTTGTTATGCGATTATTAACTAAGGGTAAAGGTATGTTTGGATATTTATTGGAGACAGGCTCATTTGCTTACCGGCTGCTCGAGACTCTCCTGCCGGTAGACAGCGGCACCAGGAGCCACGGCTGCAGCACGAGCAGCAACGTGGGCAACAGGCACTTCTATGCGTAAAACGCATCGGATTGTCGAGGAGAAAAGACAGCAGTTTATGTGCAAATTTAAGCCTCCATTTGCTTACTCTTCAGCTACACTTCAGCTGCTATTCAGGTGCTACATCCGCATGTGGTCCTGCTGCTGCCGCTGCTGCTGCTGTTGCTGCTCAGTGGTAGACACTAGGGGAACGCTTCGAGTGTCTTTGCTCTCCTCGGCCCCCCAAGCGACCTTCTTCGCAAAATTCTGCATTTTTTAACGTAAACTTCAGGAGGCACTTCTTTCTTTTGCTGCCCGGTCAACGCCAGAGCAGCAGCGGGAGCAGAGCAACAGCAGCCGCCGCTGAAGGACCAGCAGGGACGAGAAGGTTGCACAGTGCAGCAGCCTCCTGTAGCGAAAACAGAAGGAGGAAGAAGCAGCAACAGTTCAACTAATCCCTGCCTCAGGTCCAGCACCAGCTGGGTAAGATGTCAGACTTTCAGCTACACGAGGAGGAGCCTGTAGATGGGCGAACAATAGACGATATCGTCGATGGAGTTGCTCAAGATCTTGGCCTCTCACGAGAGGCACATCTTGATGTTAAACTAAAACTAAGAGAACATTACATTCGCTCAACACAGGTTAGCCATGCACATGCATGCATGCATGCATGCATGCATGTAAATGCCAGCTCAATTGTACAGCATCGTGCATGAAAAGCGATGGAGGCTGCTGATGCTGTCCTTGGGGATGTCTTTGTTCCTTTTGCTGCTGCAAGAGTTCAATGCTGCTGCACCAGGTAGCAGCAACTGCGTAGGACGCCCCAGTCCAAGAGATGCAGCAATGGCGGCGGAACCTCCCATGATGCTGTTGCTTGCTGCTGCTGCATCTCTCGGTGTCTGTATCCACCGACCCTGTTTCTGCCTACTATATCTACCTCTCGTTTACCCTCTGTTGCTGCAGCTGCTGTCTCCGCCTCTGCCTCCTTTTTTGTCTCCTTTTATGTCTCCAGGCCCTCGCAGACGCCATCAAGGAAAAGAAGTTGTGTGGCGTTGTTCATCCTTACGTTGCTGATGCTCTGTATAACAGATTAAACAATAAACCTAACGAAACCTTTGAATACGATGGTACATTCATGCGCAGCAAGTGCAGCAAGTGCAGCAGCAGCAACTGCAGCAGAAAGTACATTACCAGCAGCAGTAACAGCAGCAGCAGCAGAAAATTGTTTGTTGTGATGTGTTGCTGCTGCTGCAGTGTATCCGGAGACCCGATTGCAGACACGCAATCCAACACATTTTAAGAATGTTGCTATCTTTGTACATCGTGTTGCTCCTATACCTGGCAGCAACAAAGGAAAAATAGGTGAGCATCCTACCTACAGCAGCAGCAACAACAGCAGCAGCAGCAAGTAGCAGCAGCAGCAGCAGCAGTCTCCTAGAGCATTCTGTCTGTGTGCTCGGTGTTTACTGCTGTGTACCAAGAACAGGAATATTCTACCTTGTAGCACATAATTTCCCATCGTGTATACCGATATACCTCTCTAAATGTTGCTGCTGCTGTTGCTGCTGCTGCTGTTGCTGTTGTTGCTGCAGCTTGTACTTGGGCATTTGACGTGGATCCTGAGGTGTGCAGCGTGAAGGAAATGCAGCAAAGATTAGAACGTTTAGTATCAACAAGTGCAGGAAAGATGCGAATAGTATTTAATGGATTTACTTTATCTGCAACAAATACATTAGCTGAATATGATGTAAGAGGAGGAGACAGTCTCTATTTATATACAGTTAAGGATCCTAATGAGACAACAGTTGTATGCTGCAGCAGCAGCAGCAGCAATATGGGACCACATCATCCTGCTGCAGCAAACTGCAACAATTGCTGCAGCTGCAACTGCCAAGGAGCTGCTGTTTCACCTGCTGCTCTTCGTGGACGCTGCCCGGCCTCAATGCCTGCAACACAATGTGCTGCAGCAGCTGCTGCTGCTCCTCCTCCTGCATGCGCCTGCTGCTGTCCTCAAGGACGTTGCTCAGTCTCTCAAGCTGTCCTAACAAGGCCGTATCGATGCCACACACAACGCTGCCTCTGTGGCTGCTGCACAACGACTGCCTACTCTCCTTTGCAGCCAGCAGACAACAGAAGATAAATGCCAATCACCTCTACTTCTCCTGTTACGGAGGCGCAGCAAGAGCAGCAGCACCACCAGTAGACGTTGCATTTCCTGTAATTGGATTGTAACGGCAGTTGCGGTGGTTGCTGCAGCAGCAGCAGCAGCTGGCAATGAGTGCCCCACAGCCGCTGCTTCTAGATAGGAAACAGAAACAGTAGATGCAGCAGCAGCAGCAAGACTAGCTGCTGCATTTGCTGCTATATCTATAGATGCATTTTAATTTTGTTCGGCGCAGCAGCACCTTCTTCTCTTGCTTTTTTGCATGCAGCAGCAGCAGCGCCAGATGCTGAACCAGCTAGCGAGTGCCCTGTCTAGCTACGCAGTTAGCTAGCCAGGCAACGAGGGACAAGCACCTCGCTGATTCTTTTGTTTTGTACAGACACCCTGCGAACAGAGGGCCGCTGCAGCACCAACTGCAGCAGCAGCTGCTCAGAGCAGCTCAGACTCTTTTGTTTCATCCACACAGTCAAGACAGAGGCCCTGATTAATGTTTAGGGTTTAGGGTTTAGGGTTTAGAGTCCCGCTGCTCCTACTAACTAAGATATTCAACTTTCACAACACACTGCAGCAACTGTTCAGGAAATAAGTTGTTTATATAAATATATATTATACGTATACATGAATTGCATGCTTGTTCTGCGTGCTTGCTTGTATACATAAAATATATGAATATATATAAAGATATTATCTGCCAGGAAAAAGAAGTAGCGGTAGTATAGAGTGTCTGTACAGCCTGTCTAAGAAATACAATTAATGTTCTTTGCCGGTGGCACCTGCCTGCTGCGTTGTCCTGTGTGTGCTGCATCCGCGCAGCAGCAGCAACAACAGCAGCAGTAGCAAGAGCAGCACTGCCTAGGATAACATATATATATA